TCTCTAGAGTATAAAAAAGTTGACCAAACAACTGAAAAGTATCTCTAGAAAAATACACAGAAAGGTTTGGTTGTTTTTTAACAAAGGAAATTCCTTCATTTCAGCTTATAATATATTATGGGTGATGTGTCTGTTAAGAGGAACTCTTATTCACTTGACCTGCAAAGTAAGAAAAAGTGACAAAATGTCTTAGAAAACGAAACATGAGCTTTTGGCATAAAAATTAACTACTTATTTCCTTTTGGTGAGTTACTGAAACTATGTTAGTAAGCAGCATATTCTTTTAGTAGTGATATATTTAGTCTAACTACATCAACTTTAGGACTATATAAGGTTTCAGTCAATAGATAACTATAATCTAAAAATTCTGTGATATAATGGGTAATACAAAGTCACTCAGACTATGTAAAAACTGTGGTAGAAAGGAAGATCAAAGAAAATAGATGATTATTTATGAATAGACTATTGCTCCAGAATAGCAGCTTTCCTGTATAGGAACAAGAAGCATTAAAGTACTGCTGTCAAAAAAATAAAAAAAGCCATTAAAAAAGCTTATCTTCCTGCCATTCACAAAAAAGACAAGCTCATTTGATTGCTGGGGGCAAGTCATGCTGTTGCATTGATGTCTGAAAAACAAAGCTTTACACATCAAGAGACATTAATGAAATGCTACATGCTTCTAAAGGTCAACGGAGTTTGCTTTGTCCCACAGAATTTTTTTTCAGAGTAAGCATCAAATTAAGTGGATGGGGAGGAGCCAACGTGATGTATGCCGTTTCTCAATAATTAATGCATGTTCACACCAAACTTTCTACTCCTACTCCCCACCCAACTCTTCTCCCGTGATCTGAAATAATTTGGAAGGAATTTGAACCCCTCTAATCCTAACCCTGTAACCTAAGAGATAAAGCACTTACTGTGAGGGGTGACTTCTGGGCTTGAGCTACAACTGCCAGGCCTGGGTTTTTCGTATTATCCAGTAACTGATGAATCTAGAATACATAGGAATGCCTGAAGCTAGAACCCAGAACATGCAACATTACCCACTTCTGTGGGGTGTCAGATGCTAAGCTGTGGAGCATGCTTCTCATTTTCGCTTGTTACTCACACGAACTGTCTAGGGTTTTTTTCTGCAGAATGACCAACTTTTAACAAAATCAATATTACTACTACACACACATTTAAAATTTCCTTTTGTTTGTCTCTGTGCTATGCCAGCTCTATACCCTGACTGCTGTGGTGCCATTATAAGATGACCATACTCTAGATATACTGATTTGGGATTCTAGATTCTCCATTTCTCTAGAGGAATGTCCAGGGAAAAAAGGTTATTAATCTTTTAAAGATTAAATCTTTAAAATTTAATCTTTAAAAAAGGTCATTAATCTTTAATGGTGTATTAGAGCTGGCCTTTACTTTTTTTTAGAAGGGGACTTACGCACAGTGAGGGTACTGAAGCACTGGAATGGGTTGCCCAAGGAAGTTGTGAATGCTCCAACCCTGGCAGTGTTCAAGGCCAGGCTGGACAGAGCCTTGGGCGACATAGTTTAGTGTGTGGTGTCCCTGCTCATGGCAGGGAGGTTGGAACTAGATGATCTTAAGGTCCTTTCCAACCCTAACTATTCTATGATTCTATATGTCTCTCAAAAGTCGCCATTTGTGTATGTACATGTCTTGTTCTATTCACCATTTTTACATTTCACAGCAAAAGTCTCTGTATTTCATTTAGTCAGTGCAGGCTTTCAGGACAATGTAGTCAGCCCCAAATCTTTTACCATTCCCCATTAGAAGGAAAGAAAATGATTTTCAGCAGAGATATGCTGCTTCTTTTGTGGTTTAGCCCCTACTGTATGCCTGAGATCTACCATGATGCAAGCACCAAAGCAACGTCAGTCACTAGGTCCTGCAGGCACAAGCCCTAATGGGTCCTGCTGACTGCAGCATTGCTGTAGTATTCCACGTGTGTTGTAGGTACAACGATGCAGGTTCAAATGCCTAAGAAGAGAAAGAACCAGACCTACGACTAGATTTTGGCAGTCCAGTATCTAATTTTCAGAGTACTACACCTCCAAACCAGGACCCAGTATTTATGTTAGATGAATAAGCTTACACACACACAAGAATGGGAATGCTGAGGATGGGTCGTTATAGAAACACTTCTTTCATGAAGAAAATTAGTAGAAAAAGCTCTTCTTGAGTATCTCCATCAGTGCACACCAGTGTATGAATAGCCATCCAATCTGTCAATGCCTGCAAAGCCCTAACCTTTCTACTCATCTAGCCCAAGTCTGTATGTTTTAAGCAGTATTAAAAATGTAATGCCACCCCTTCCTTTAACACCTGTAGAGTCTAAGAAAATGCACTTCATAATATTCCACATAGCCATAGTATAATCTATAAGGATGTTTCTAGCTTCCATGTGATTTTTCAAATACCTAAAAGCCAGAAGATAACTTAGCATGTTTCAGCCCCCCCCAGAAAACAACCACCCATATTTGCCAGATGCATAGATTTTACTGAGACAACTAGACAACAGTCCCACTTGTAAAAAGGCAGGGAGGAATCTGTTAACAGTAACTGAGAAATACTGACAAGCAGACTTATGATCTGCACTGCAGAAAATAAACTACAAGGTCTGGAACACGATGAATCCCTGGAGTTCAAACACCTCATCACTTCAGTGGGGAGATGTCATTGCCTGCAAGGGTTGGACCATGATTTTTACCAGATTTGACTTGCATGGAACTAAGCAGCACACAGGCGAAGAACAGACAAGGCACTTTCCCCCCCAGTTCAGTAGACCTATATGCTCCCTGCTTAAGCATATACTGGGATTTAATCACTTTTGGGGGCCGTTATCAACATGGGAGGCTGTGAACTGTCATAAAAAGCCCAAGCAGTGAAACTAAGACGTTTCAAAACAAAAAAGCTAATTACGGTAGCTGGATTCACACTTAATTTGATTTATTGACATTTTTTACAGTATTTAAAAGCCAAAGTAATACAAAGAAAGTGAAGAAAAAGAACTAAAACCCAATAGGACCCTAGCTGCTTAAACCACACTTCTAATGCCACTTCAGATGATTTGCTATAACCTGCTCGGCCTCCTGTTGCTATGTGGAATCTTTCAGTGCTGTGCTTTCCCTATGCCTCTGCTGTCTTAACGACACCTCAAATGATCTAGACACCTATGGTTAAGCAGCTGAATTTCACCTACTCATAGTGGTTACAGAGAGAGACAAACAAATTGAAACAGTAAGAATTTTGTATTTTAATAGCCAATGCAAAACCAGTTTAACCTACTAACCTGATTTCTGTCACGGTATCAATTCATAAATAAAATAAAAGAGATGGAAGGCAAGAAGAGGAAATAGCCTGTGGAAAACTGAGCAGCAGTGATGTGGAAAACTGAGAAGCAGTGATATGAAAACAGCCTGCAGGCTGACATGTCAAACAAATTAGAGCCATTTATTTTCATTACAATTGGCAGTTTTCGTGGCTCTTGCTCACTCTGATACATGAGTAACTCAGCAAGGGATAACTAATGCAGAGGTGCACTGAAACCACACACTGAACATACAAACTACTTCTTTTCTGAGTTCTACTCTTTCATGAAAGAACCTGCTGCAATTTTTCATGTGCTACTTTGGGTAACTTCTGTAGACTCACTAAAAAAAATTACAAAAGTGACGTGCTTTCTCCGTGTTATGATGTACCCCAGATCAAAGATCCAAATTCAAAACCATGGCGATTTGTGTATTTGTGCATGTGTGCATTCAGAACTGAAATCTCAGCTTTGCACTTCAAGAGGATTCTGATGTTGAAATCTGAATATGGTGACTAGAGCTTTCATAATATATTAACTTTGATATAGTCTATGTTAATTTTTGGCCTCATCTTTGGCTTCAAATATATACATACTCAAATCTACTAACACTGTAATTTGTTACCATTTAAAATGATGTTGCTTTGTATTTTCGTGTTTTCTCCACATGCTACTACTTGGGTTTGGTCTAATCCTACTGCACCACAGGCAGCACCAGAGGACTGACCTCTGCAGATCAGCTTTTGACCTCTTTATATTTTTTCTATCTTCTTTATCACAGGAGTGACTGAATGCGTGAGAAAGCTCTTAACTGTACTTTCATGGCTCAATATAGTCTTGAGCACAGGATTAAGTTCTGCTGAAGAGTCCTTTCCAGAGACAGGTTCATCCAGTCTCCTACTGAAAGCACACTGAACTCCATGTGAGTTTTCCCATTTGAAAAGCCATTTGGAGTCTTTTGGCTTGCTCCATGAGAAAATGAAAGGTTCTGGTGGAGTCACTAAGTGACTCTTTCCAACTTTTGGGATAAAATTAATCTCCTATATATGCAGGTCAGCCATAGCAATTTGCCTGGTGTAGCAAAAGAAAATACTAACTTGTTTATTGCATGTTTTTAACAGAAAGATACCTGTGCCAAAAGAATGTAAAACAGCTTTACTACAAATCAGAGCATGACTTCTGATCAACAAGGGACTGAATCCAACAAACAAGGTTCTGATTCTTCAACAGACAACTATCTCTGCACTCACACTCCTCTGCAAGACTCAAATGTAAATTAGGAAATTAGCTGAAGCCATTAAAAATTATTTATCAATGAAGTTGTTAAGTGTAATAAGCAGCCATACCTTTATACTTCATCCTAACTTTCTCCTCCTCCAGCATTTGACCTGAGCTGTGCAGGGAATCTTTCTTGTTGAATACATACGATTCAAATGTAGGAGATGTATTTTTAGCAATTAACTGCAGTAATTTAAGCAGAGTACTGTAATGAATGTACTGGATGGAGAATGAAGATAAGGACAGAAGATGTAATATGCTTATTTTTGGTAGCTGATTCTATTCTGAAAATGAGAAAATATATTTATCTGTGTGTTGATTAGTGTGTACTGGGACTGTAAATCAGTTTTCCATTCTATTCCATTCCATTTCGGTCTTGTGCTCTCTGGTTTGCCATTCACACAGATACGGCCCGAGGAGTGAAGGAAGCAGATTCATTGTTTGTCATCTAAGAGAACAAACAAGAAATGAAAAAATGACTTATTAGTATTATTTGACTGGCAGGCTCCCAATATTGCCCTTATCAGGTCCTCCAAGTCATTCAGCAGTGTTCTACAGGAGATACCTACAGAAGATGGCTAGAACGAAGGTAGGTCAGTGATAACTGGGGTCAGGGCCAAACAGTGATGGAGAAGCACGGTCTCTGAAATTGTGGACCTCACCACCCATAAGCTCCTGTGATGAGAGTAAGCCCACGATGCTACTGATCTGGGGCCAGTGATGCGCCACCATGACCACAGAAATACTATGGGAGTAACCTGTGAGTGAGAGCTCAAGAGTTTCCATGGCAGAGCAACAGAAGTTGAGGACACAGTAGGGATTTATACGCTGACAAGGACCTTGCTTCACAGATGTGGCAGCCTAAATAAAAACTTACACAGAAATAGAATTTTAACAGCAGTGGGAATATTGACTATGGTGAACAGTTGCAGAAAACACAAAATGTAAACGATAGCATTATAAATAGTGTATTGCCTCATCTGTTTTTCTTCTGTATCCTTTTGTCAGCTCTGAGTTAATACTTTTTCACAAAGAGTCCTGGGCATAGCAAGGAGTATCAGAATGAGGTGACAGAATGACTTGCCAGAGTGCAAGACACTGGGAAAAAGCAACTGGAAAGAGACTGAAGACACTTGGAGGCTGATCCATTGCATGTCAGTAAGAGGAGCTATTTAATCCTTTATGGGATTTGACTTATCAAAGAAAGGAAAAGGGCTTCAGGGAAAAAGAGGATTTTAAAAATCATTTTACAAAATTAACTAAAAAAAAAAAAAAAAGAAAAGAAAAGATTATACCAAACCAGGGCAATTCCAATACAGTGCTTGAACGGCATTTCTTGGAATCACTTGTGTGAGACCTGGTACAAGACATTTTGATTACAAGGAGCCATATAATACTGCTGTATACAAAGCACGACCAATTGGAGACATCGTTAGGCAGCCCACCATTCAAGGGTGCCAAAAGCAGTATGCACTTCTACCCAGACATACTGGAACAGACCCTTCCCCAGCTTTCTATTACCATCTCAGTGAAGTCATCTGTGCAGCTTGCCCGTATTTGTTCAGCGGTCAGAGGGCTATTCAGCACAAAGGTCGTCTTCAGTCCTCTTTCATTCCTCACACTAGTTACTGCATCTCTCAAAGCAAAGAACACAGAGCATCCCAAGAAAAGTCCTGCCTCACCTATGCCCTTGAAAAGAAATAAAAAGAAGCCAGATAGGTGTAGGTTTAGAGCAAATGAGAGGAGTACATGCTATATAAGTATCAACTAAAAAGCTTAAAAGTCAGTTACTCAAAAAGTGTTTCATCCTTCAGTAAGAAATTCTAGATTTAGTGGAAGCAAGCTTAGATCGCACCAAGTCTTCTGATGGTAGCTGCCTCTGGGGAGCTAAAAATGTTGATTCAAACATTGGCTATTGATTTTAGAATCTTTTTTGCTCATTGCTAAACTGAAATTTAGAATTACTAGCAGATAAAATTAAAACAATCCAAATCCAGGTACAGATACAAGTAAGAAACAAAGCCTGAACTCATGATAATTCCCTGTGTGAAAACACCACTGACCTCAGTGGGCTTGACATCCTCTCACTGGTTCTGACATAAGATTCACATTTGTTCCTTATCTCAAAGATAGGTCAAATCCACCCTTATTCCATAGTCCTCTCAGTGCTGTGGTACTGGACATGTTAATGTGGACTGGAGTGGGATACTACAATTGTATCTTACTTACCTCCTTGCTGAAATACAAGAACCAAATGTCTTCCCCAAGCATGCTGCATGAAGAAAGAATCATACCTTCTTGCAGTGAATTTCAAAGGTATTCATAGGAGATAAGTTCACAGAAAAGGATAAAAGCTCTGTTTGAAGAGCCATGAAAGAGATGCAGCAATACTCCACATGTCTTTTCCTATTAGTTTCCCTAATGTTGTAAGTAAAACAATTTTATGGACATGTTTGAAATGCTAAGAAGAGGAAATGAAAACTTATGTATGTTTTGTGTCAGAGTAATTTCTCTGTTTGTCCTGGGACCTAAGAATTTGGCCCCGTGATGGTTTGCTTACCTTGGATGCATAGATGGCATAAGGATTTTGGGAAGATGACAGCAAGGAAACACTAAACTGCTCTGGAATATCACAAACAGCAGGGATCTTATACTGATCTGGACCCCGAGTATAGAGGACTCCTTCTGGAGAATACTTTAATTCTTCCATTGTGTACAGTCCAATGCCTTGAACGAAGGCACCTTCAATCTTTAAATAAGAAAAGAAATAGCATTTACAATCTCATGTTTGGTAAAATTTTGTCAAGAACTGATTTGTATCACTAGCTGTTAAAAGACCATTTTCATTTCTGTTTGCCTAGTGGGTTTCTTCAACATTTTGGGGCTACCTTGATGAGAAAAGCTTTCACACCTCTATTTCATACCAGGCAAAGATAAATGCTTTCATGATAAAGTAATAGCAGGGAAACACCTTCATTAATTGCAGGCTATCAATGGGGAAGGCAGGTCAAATGGCAGGAGAATATGGAGACTGTAGGTCACAAACAGGATTTAAGTCCAGCAGACAGTGGGCATATATACATAGAGGAAATACTACAGGTTGACACCATGGGTAAAATTCAAGCTTCACTGACATCAAAAAAGCTATGACACTGACTCAAATGTGGCAAGTCTACAAGTAAAGGACTTTCTAATATGATCTATGACTTTTAACATTAGTAAGAAATGAGCGTTTTCTGAATTAATGAGGTAATCTTAATTTCAGATAAGGCTATTGGCGTAAGAAATAAGACAGCTCGTGGCACATACCTGCCCTATATCTACAGCTGGATTTATGCTGCATCCAATGTCCATAACAATGTCTGTTCTGAGGTTCTGTCAATAAAATTCAAATGTATATTACTGAGAGAGATGCATAGAGTGAAGCATTAGAACATAATACAGGTTAGAGCTAGTATTCATTGGGATCATGTATACTAAAATAGAGGCCCCTCCATATACACAATTTCAAAGTAATTTCCAATACCCAACAAGCAAAATAGGCTTGTCTCAACTTCATCAGAAGTTTAGCCAGAGACAGCCCTGCCAGTTTTTTCCCATTGCACAAGAAAATCACCACATAAATAAATACAGATAGAGGGCATATGATCAGTTGTCTGTTACATTTAGTTGTCTAGATGGTCAAAAACCTGGAAATAGAATATTTAGCTCTGCTGTTAATTTGTTTGCGGGCAACAGTGAGAGAACAAATGAAGAACATGCCAGATGTCTGCCATAACCTGAAAGGTGAACCCATGTGACATTAATACAGATGTGCCAGAAGCTTCTTAACACTGCACAGCTTTCACTCTGCTCCACCGTAATTTTCATTTACACTTTAAATATATTTATTATCATGTGGAGACAGGATACTTACTAATGCAAAACCTGAATGGCTGTTGGAGCCTCTAGTGACACAAACAAACTTCATTCACATTATTTACAAAACGTCCATGACGCTCGGTCATTACCTTGTGATCTCCTGTTAGGCAGTTAATTTCAACCTCTGAACAAGCAGCTCCATAAAGAAAATACGTGAATGGTTGTCCCTCCCCCTTCTCCCAATCCATGTTTTCACTGTAACCTCTGATGGAAGAAAATTAATGTTTGCATCATAACAAGTAGATGAGCACATGAAAGCCTGAAATAACTTTCAGTCTTAAATAAGAGGTCAGATGCCCAGCAGTTGAGTTCCATGAAATCCTACAGAGCACTAGTAGTTTAGGTTTGATGGATCTGGTGTTTATATAAAATTTAGCAAACAAGCAAGCTATTTCAGTTCAGGAGAGTCAATAACCAGCATAATCCCAGAAATAAACTAATAAAGACATGATAGTCAAATACAGAATACAAATTTAAGGGAATTCAGAAAAAGGTAGGAAAACTGGTCAGGACCTACGACAGAATAATTTACAAGAGAGAAATTAAGGACTTTAAATTGCAGAAACTGCCTACAGAATGAGAGAGGGTTAAAACAGGAACATTGAAATAAGGGTGTAATTAGAAGAGAGTGGGACAAACTGAGGAGACTGTAGTAGTCAGGACGATGGGGTAAATTCAGCAGACGAGGACAATGAAGTGTGGTATCTCTCAACTATATGAGCTATATGACTAAGGCATATTTTCTGACCATATATGACTGAAATGTCTTTGTTGAGAATATTTAAAATTATACTCCATAAAATAATCACAATATAATTCAGAGCACTGAACCATGCATTGAAAAAGGGATACACAAAAACCACATATTCAACTTCTCACATCCCAGCTGGCTCAGCTGTCTTTGAGATTCTTGAACGTGAAGAATATGACTGGATAAGAACTAGATCAATACAGCACTTAGACTTTATTTTCCAGTACCCAGTATATCAAAGAATTACATGAAACATAAACTCAGCCATTAGAAAGAACTATTGGACAGGATCTTCTATTCATGGCATTGATTATGTAGAGATATCAATCCTATTTATTTTTTAGGAACAAAAATGTATTACCTAAAGTAACCAGTAGCTGAAAGACTCACGCTTTGTTCAAAAGCTTCTTGAATCTGTAAAACATAGCAGTGTTTGTGGCAAACAACAGAAGGAATCAGGAAGGAACACAGCATGCATATATTTACTTAAATTACATTTATTTACTTATTTACACATATTTACTTAAAAAAACCAAACTGTAACAAATCATAAAGAAAGGAAAACCATCTGAGTTAAGCATGTTTAGCTGCACAGGGGGCCTAATACTGTAGAACTAAACTCCCTTTAGATGGGCAATCTGAATTCTTTTGGCAATACAATAAGGAATAGACCAGTCAACAGTGGTGTTCTTGCAGAATCTTTATTACTGGTAATGCCATAGTCAGAAAGGGCTCTACTCAGTTTTTCTCTTCAAGTTCAGTAGTAACGGGTCTCTCTTTGTGAATTGAACAGATCTGGTTGATAAGTCACTGACATTAGAGATCTGCATGACCTATTTACACAAAAATGACAGTTGAAAAAAAGAACTGCTCTTTGCAGTGTTCTTCTGCCACTGGTAAGAATGACAATATGAGGTCCCAAATCTATTCCCTTTCAGTCATTCTCATGTTAGATTTACTCAGTTCACAAGTCAAAAAGGTGTTTGGGGTTTTAAAATTATCTTTAGTTAATTGTATTTTACTGACTTTGCAAAATATAAAATTACTTCTCTGCATATATCAACATTCTTTCTTAGGTAAGCTATTTCTGCTAGTATTTTGAGTGTGTCTGATTAATTTGACAACCATTAGAGGAGATTATCTTCACGTATGTAGCTGTCAGCTACCAAGCTAGCACATGTATTCCAACATTATTTGCTACTGCTAGGAATTACTACTGCCAAGAGCTTACATCTTCATAGTCATTATAGTGTTTAACCACTTGAGAAGAAACACCCTGGTGTGCTGGATCTGTAAATGTCCTTTTCATTCAGAAACAGACAACAAGCAAAAATGGATAAGAAAACATAACAAAGAGGTTTTCTTTTAACATCTCAATACATAGTACTAGATTCTCAGCCATATCTGCACAAAAACAGTTGTTATAGGAGAAAGCTTTAAGTTAAGAAAATTCAGTTTCTAGCCCTAAAATTTTATTCAAGTGGGCACCACAAAGGGGCCATTTCTATATACAGCTTTAGCACTATTTCTGTACTGCTCTACTGCAAATGTAACTAATATTGTAACTTATTACATATTAGAGCAATGGAAGCAACGATTCCTGCTACCTTTTATGTAATTCTGTAATATACTGCATATGGGAGAGAGATGGGGGTAGGAAGTTGAGAAGGCTTCTCTTTATTGATTTGGTAAAAACAAAGAACAGCCATGTAGGAAAACTGACTCTGTATGCATATACCCTGCAATCTTTTGGCAACAGCTTGTCTAAGGGTAAGCTGGGGTGCAGTGTGTTATTGCACAAGCTGATATTTTTGTATATTAAAAACTTCTGTGCCTCCGAATGTGTCTTCACAGATAGCCTCGCCTCCTTTCCAACTAGACAGAATCTGAGGATTTTTTCCCCACATATCTAAGCCAAGCACCCACACTCCATCTTTCTGTCAAATAACCTGTTTCTACAGTTTTCAACTTTAGGATTATTAAGCTGAGCAGATGGATAATTACAATATATTTATCAGAGTTTCTGCAAGCACACAAACAAATTTAATAGGATTCACGTATCTTACCCATTCATTCCAGGTGCCTTTTGGGTTCTTCTTGATGATAGGCTGCAGGCGGTTCAGAAGAGTTCGGCAAGCATCCTGGTGAGAAATCAGGAGAATATAACACAAAATTAACATGGTTTGGTACTATTCAAGATATGTCCTAGTTAGTACTTAATCAGTATATTCTTTACTGTCATCTTGGTTTGAAAAAGTATGATAGGATGTGTCATTTTAACTGCATACACACAAACCTTATAAAGGGTTAAGTTATGAGGGCTGGGATCTGCAGGACTCAGTAGATTTAGAACAGGAACAGGGTACAAGATTTGTACGGGACTAGTTAGTTTGTTAGGTAAAACAAGGATTTTGCCAAACGTAAGCCTTTTGGGGAAAGCTCAGATCATACTCTGAAAACACCTAAGTACCACTACTGAGAAACTGTCCACAAGTCATGTTTCATCTTGCCAATCTCCAGTGGTATTACTGGTAATCTCAAACTTGATTTCTATGGGATCCCTAATGCTTGAAGTTTGGCAGGCATTAAACACCATGAGGGATAAGGTGTTTTGTTAAACTAATGCTGCTCTTTACCTTCACAGCCATGCCATTGACATCTGTCCCGGCAGATCCTGCTGAGGCACATGCATTGGGAACAGTTGTTGTGCTCGTTTCACAGAAGTGAATACGTGACATGGGGATGTTCAATTCCCGACTAGCAACCTGTTTCAGGAAGAACAACATATTCTTCTCTGTTTTAGAAACATTCTAAACACTCCAACAGTTCCCTTTTACTTGCTAGAAGCCAGCAATATCAGGAAAGATAAAGTTTTAGCAAGTCCTCTTCCAACCTTCAGCTGAAATCAGTTTGTCAGTACAAAGAAACACAAAAGAAGGGCAATGCTTTTAGCTGTACTCCACCTCTGGATTGAGACTCTGGAGTCCAACATTTGGTTCTTGGTTTTGCTGCTTACACCCTGTATGACTTAGGGCAAATTATGCAGGCCAGATCCCAAGCTTTCATAAAGTTGATAAATATCTTTACCAATTAAACAAATACAAACATAATAATATTGTCCGAACTGTATATTAATCTGAAAACTGACGGTCTTCTTCTTAGCATAGGTTTTATGGGATCAGCCCCTGAAAATCTAATTTTTAATAAGCCTCTACTCATACCATTGGAAGAATAAAAAGCAAACAATCTGTGTTTTCTTTCTGCTGTTTCTCAATGAAGGTATTCTGCTTTTTCTCTTAATACAAAGCAGCAGTGGCTATGCTGATAGAGAAGCTGTCCTACTGGTACACTAACTAACCAAGAAGAAAACTGTTTAACTGCATGACAGATAAAGCACAAGGTAATATTTGTTTGAATCACTTGTTACCTGAATCATTTTTGTATGAATACCCTGCCCCATTTCAATTCCACCATGTGTCAGAAGCACAGACCCATCAGTATAAATATGAACCAGAGCAGCAGCCTAAAAAAATAAAACCAAGATTAGACTAGTGAGAAATGTGTTGTATATGGTAATGAATTGATGAACCAAAAGACAGACTCAGTTTTGAAATGTATTTCAATTTCTCTGTTTAACGCTTTTGAATAGAAGACACAATTTGGAATGCTAGTTCCTGCTCTTCCTCTACAATGAACTTGAAAAGATACTAATTCTTGGAGGTCTGCTTTTTCTGTTGCTAAATCCTGAAATTAATCTACACCTGGCAATAGCATCTCAATGGTTCGAAAACTAGCTGGAAGACCTCACTCAGCAGTGGTTGTATATGTAAATTGCTGCAAGTTCCATTTTCTCCCTCGCTAATGTTTGAGAGCCTTTGGACACAGGTTTTTCAACAGCACAGGTTGGTCAGACTGTAACATTAGTCACAGCAGTAAGGTTCTGAATGAGATTTTTCCTTCTGGACTCAGTTGGAAGTAGCACTGTAGACTACAAAGACCCTGTGACTTTAGTCTTGAGAAGAGACAGCCAGTTTGATATGACACAAGCCAGTCAATTAATTTTCAATTGATGAAATGCTGTCTATTCCAGAAGCAGTGGGATACACCAACATTAAAAAAAAATAAAATACAAAGACCAAAACCACTACTGTCCTTCTTCTCTTCCTTAGGCTTAATCTTTGTTTACATCAAAACATTAAGTCTTTAAGAACAGCATCGCGTAGTACCCCCATGGTCAGAAAAAATAAGCTCAGTGCTTATTCAATTAACACTCTGCCATCAGTCCTCAAAAACTTTTCATAAAGGTGTCCAACTCATCTATACCAATGCTACATCCAAAGAGATGGGACTGGGCAGGGTCCAAGCTGCCTGGGTCCTGAAAACCAAACAACTTTCATCACAGCTTGAAGAGAGCTAGAAGCTAGTGTAGCCTTCACGGAACAACCTTTAGGAGGATGATAGATTTTCAGAAGTTGAAAGATAACACATGTGCTTTATATCCTAGGGTAGAGTAACTGTAACCTTCTATGGATAAAAAGCTTAGCTCAATTATTCTTTAAAGAAACTAACCTGAGAAAGGTACCGTGCGCCTAGTCCAAACGGAAACTTCATTGGTACAATGGCAATCCCTTTTTTCTTCCAGTAATTTAGTTTGTTAAATTCATTGGCAGTTGTTTTCCTACTGTAGTATGCAGATTTCTCCATACATTCATTCCAACACCGTATTAAGTTTTGTGGATCAAGCTTTTGCTTGAAGTGTGTCTGCTCGTTCTCCTTATACATATTTATTTCCCTAATCTGAAATAATAAAATTAACACCTATCACACAATCTGGTTAAAGGCAGACTGACTGTTAGAGGGGACTATTAGACAACAAGAAGATTGCCACGTTTTTTGAACAATGACCAGTTTCGTTCAGTTTGTAAGAACATGCTGTTCATTCAACAACCAGACATTAATAAAAAAATAATAATTTTAGCATAAATTTTGTCTGACTTAGAAAATATCTGTTTGAACAGTTGAGCTAGTCTAAAGGGTTTTAACTTTCCAACTGCGTAGACTTCATTTCATGAGAGAAGATGCCTTCATTTTCTCACCTTTTCTGGCGATAAACCAGTTTTATCTGCAACTTCTGTTATCCAAGTTTCTGTCACCAGTCCTGACTGGGGAAAGCCAAACCCTCGAAATGCTGTATTTGATGGCAAGTTTGTTTTGCAGGCATAAGCACAGCATCTCAAGTTGGGAATCTTGTATGCATTGTCCATTTTTAATAAGGATACTGATGCTACCTGTGGTAGGGGACAAACAGGTCTAGTTATCAAACTATTAAACTGCTTCTTTCAAATTCACATTTAAATATTTCTCATCTCATATAAAGACCTTATTTTGAGACAATTAGCTTTAAAATTGGGTTTCTGACAATCACTCATAGTAAGAATACTCTTACGCCCACATGCAGATTTTATTAATACATTTCTAATGTAGCTATTAGTTTTCAGTTCTTTTTTGATATTCAGAGAACACAGCTGATGTACCAGTAATTCAGTGCTGGTCACTAGGTAAGTATATAGCCCATACTTAGTTTACGATTGATTTTGCTCCTACTTTGATATGAAAAGCCACACAGAACTAAAAATAGGCAGATTAGATTTAAAGCACTAGGAGCTATGAAAGGAACTGATGGAAACATTCAGAATTATCACATCCTATGGAAATTCACAGTTAAAGTTTAGTTACATCAGAAAGCATATGTACTGCAGTCTACAGTGTCTTCTGGTTCTTACATTTTTCTTTTAGAGATTTCACATTGCTAAGAAACACAAGAAAAGGAAAATCCTGTATTAGTGACCTCAAATTAGGTTCTAGGAGTCAGTATCAAACTAAATAAATAAGTTTCTTAAAGTTTTGATGCTGCATGACGTGGCCACTGTCTCTCTTCAATGGTAAGTAATTTTCTCAGGATGGCAAATTGAAGCCTGATTCCTTCTGTTCCCACTGAGCTTTAAACAATAAACTTCAGAACATTTCTTCATAGAAACAACTGAAGAGAGTTTTGCTGTAATAACCATGCGTATGAATAATGTCATATAAAGCTGCCTTTTCACTTGGGAAATGCAAGTCAAAAAGTTATTCGTGGAATTAAAAAAACAAAGTTTGGGGTTTTTTTAATTATGACCACAATTTATGAACTTCAGAGAAAGCACGTGTATGAAGCTTATTAGTCATAAGAGGGCTATTAGTAAATCAGAGTGAATACAAAGTATTGTCACAATACAACTATTGGCTATTAAGAAGTTTCTTCCCAGAAATGGCTGTTCTAATCTTGGTGCAATAGTAGAGTTAAAACATACTATTAATTCTTGAGTGAACAATAACTAAGTTAAGCATAGATTACTGGTATTCAACCCTCATGTTGCAGACCAGTCTTTATTACGATGAGCATCTAGTACCTTGGCTCTCCCAGGAGAGGCTCCCATAAAAAAAGGTCCTCTCTAAAGAAAGAATAAATCCCAAAATACTGTCTTGGGAACACACAGGTAAGTCACACTGGACCAGAAAGAAACATGGACTTTAAGTTTGGTAAAGCTTATAATTTTATTTCCAGTAAACTTATTTCTCCTTCTAAAAGCATTGAATTATTAATGCTATACTAATAGAATCACATAGCTAGACCACTGGTTATCAATCTAATTAATTAGGCAGTGATGTTAGAGAGTTAGGCTGTTATCGTATGTGCTATTCCAGCTGCAGCAGAGCTGGGTGGAAAGGTTACTCAGTTGGTTATCACTGCCTCCCAGTTCTAGGTTCACCAGCTTCACTATAATATTGTAGAACTTCATCTTAAGATGGTTCTGATATGTGATTCACATTAATGTACAGACTTTTAATAATGATTTTTTCTAACCCAGGTTATTTTTCAGAACCAGGTTAGTCAGCAATAGCATGGGCAGTTACACTGACAGATTTCAGAGTGCAGAAAATACAAATAACTGGGGCAGTAACAAGCAGATGAGGGATAGTAACCTCAATAAATATTTCAGTTACAGCTAGAACAGACTATAAAAACATGAATAGCTAGTAACTGATATTAAAGCAAGCAACATTTTGTTCTGTGTAGACCTACAAGTGAGGAACTGAGGTATACAGCACAATAAATGCAAACCCAGTACACTAATGCATAGAGATAGTAACAGGACTACTACCACTATGAATTTTCTGAAGGCTAAGAAAGGTCTTCAAGCCTAGTAGACATAGAGCTTTACAGAGGCACAAATTCAGGTGTTATGTATTTTAAAAGGAATACATTAATAGTTGACATGTTAATCATGGGAAAATAAGTCTGAAAAATGCATTTCCCACGCATTGCATGGGAAAATATCAGAAAGTATTACAGTGCTTCACTGTACTGAAAAAGTTACACAACTAGGTGTAGATTTTCCAACAACCCACAGTCCCTACATCGGAAGACTATATGATTAACAACACATGTGCAAGGGAATTTGGCCTTCATAATTTTCCAACTAATGATTCCTCCATGTTACAAGATTTGTCATCTTATAAAATCCTTACCAGGACAGATTCATCAGGGGTGCATCCTCCATTAATGTAATATTTGACATCCACAGCTCTGATCCTACCATCATTCATGAAGCCAACCTAAAAGGAACAACAATAGCCTATTTAGATTTTGGCATTCATTCATTTCTTCAGTGCTTGTATATTTTGAAAATTAATGTAACCCACACAATTAGGCTTATACTGCACTATTAATTTCTGGGCAGCATTCACTGGACTTATAAAAGTGCGAGAGAGAAAGAAACTATCTTCCCAAGATACTGACTTTCCCACCTGTACAGATACAGCATATAATAATCAACATCAGTCCACTGGGAAAGGAAGATGCAGGGAAGCCCAATAGCTTCCTGTGTATTGCCTGACATGGTTGATAAGTGTGTCATCTAGGAGCATTCACTGTAGGTGAAGTCAAATCCCACTCTGACTGTAAGAATAGTGTCTGGCCAATGCAGTATAGTATTAGCTCTTCTTTTTGAAGAAATGTTATCTTTATCTCTCATCTCTCTTTTCACATGTTGCCACTAACAGTTCCTGAACTCAACATGAACTATGACTCATTTTCAACTTTAGGGAAACATACAATCTTTCTTACTTTACCTATGTAGATTGTTGTGTGATGTGGTATACTACTTATATAGAACTTGTTTGGCGTAACTTGCTTAACATTAATAGCTGAATATGCTGAAGGCTTAGTCTGCAAGCTGTGACTGTCACCTAGATACGCTGAACTTTTTAACTAGTTAAGTAAAAGAAGGCCTCAGAGCTGGTTCAAGCTGGAAGATAAGGAAGCTACAATCACCAGCAGAAGATGCAACCTTTGAGGTAAGAAAAGAAACAGCCTGTCTAGAGACAATGAAAGGACCCAATGAAGAACAGGAAGGCCCCGGACCCTAATACTACTATTGGTCTGAACTGTTGCATGAGGGATGGGGAACTTAGACTGTAAGGGTATAATTGCCCAGGGATTTCTTTGTTCAGGGTCCCTCTTTGGACACAGCTGGATAGGCTCATCGATTTGAAGGAAACCTGGAGTTGAACCCTCTTAAGGTGGCTGGCATGGATAATTTCTATGACAAGTAGAGATGGAAGGGAAAGAAGAAATTGTCCTAATGAGTAGTTGTGACTGATGACAGTGCTTGAGCAGGGAAGAGATTAATTTCCTCCATAGGGTGAGTTCTCCTGTATGACACTGTTTCTGTAAAAAGCTAGCTATTCCTCTGTGTGAACTGAACCATATGGACGGTTTAAAATAAACCTCTGCAGAACAAGTCTCAGCTAGTTTAGCTTTCTGTTTCCAGAAGGAAAGACAGAAAAAGCTGTAAGAGGAAAAGGACATGAAGGGACTAGAAAATAAAAGAAAACAAAATCCTGCAGAAATACAGGCAAAAGCACAGAAAGGACTGCACAGCAACATGATCTTCTGGTTTCCTGGCTAGTAGTTTTGGCTTAAAGTTGAACCAATTATACTTATTTTCATTAATAGGACACACATGAAATAGTAACACTAAAATACTTATTCACAGAATATGGGCAGGCATTTTTTCACTGAATTCTTCTGGCACTCACTTTATATTTACCAATAAAAGGATGTCGACCACCTGTGATTAACATATCATCCCCTCGGCTCAGAACAAGGCGGACTGCTCTGCTGGTTCTAAATCAAAAAGAAGTCAAATTTCAGTCAAAATGAGATGTTGTTAACAAGATAGCTATTCATCATGTATCCAGATCTAGCCATCCATATAAACTTAATTTGAATAGGCTTAAAATTATGCTTAAATATATGTCCAGAGTTCATTTCTTTCACATTTACAATCATGTCTGAATTTTAATTTCATCTCTTGAAAGTCAACAAGATAATTCAGTGCAAACTTCTTCTCAAGAAATTGTTATTTTAGTGTTAACACTGAACTGTGTTAAATGAGCTAACAGCAGTTCACATTCAACTTTAAGCAAGAAGTAATCACATCTGAGCTATTCAGAATCATACTGAAAAAGGGTGCCCTGAATAAAACCAAAACATGGATAATAACAAAAATAGGAAAACTATTTTACAAATGCAAATACCATTTAATAGAGTTACTTCTGAAAAATATTAACGTAAGATGTAAAATAAAGCCCTAACAATAATTAAAAAAAATTGTTTAAACTATATAAAAGATTATTTTTGGCATGGCCTGGTTAGTCCAAAACACAGATAACATGGCCAAAAATAATCAAGAGCAGTTTGTCCAACAATGACAGTAGTAACACGAGAAATGTATTGAACTAATCACTCAGATAACAGGGTCATTTTGGCTATGACAGGATGTAGCCTGATGTGTATTCTGCAGCAAATCAGGTATGTTTATAAAAGAGGTTACTATGCTCTGACAGCTAATTGCCAATATTGTCTAGCCAAATTTGGAGGGTGGGGAACGGAGCTTTATTAAGGTTCCTAGACTAATTCAGGCAGTATTAGCAAAAAACCCTCTACCTAATAGATTTAAGCTAATTTTGACCGAAAGATCTTGGGGACTGAACCAGAACTATTTGTTCTTAGAAATAATTCCACTCATGAACTCTTCCCTCTGCATTCTGCTGTGCCAGTGAAGTTCACATCTGGATGGTTAATGTCATGCTTTGAATCTACATACAAAGCCTCAGTAGTTAACAACTGGTCCTTTTGAAATGCTCAATAATTTCAAGAATACTTCTATCTTACACTAACATCAATTTCTTCAAGTACCATTACTTTAGTTGAGGCTAGAGCTGCTTAACATTAATGGTTTAACAAAACAAAACAAAACAAATGCACGAACAGTCTTACAAAATGTGAACAGTCAGGATTTTACAACATTTTGGCTAGCAGCTTTGGGAAAGGAGAAAGCATTTTAGCCAATATGCAAAACTTGTTAACCCCATTTTCTCTTCATATCCCCATACACACACATTGCACTTACTTGTTTGCTGCCACTGCAGCAACTGATGCCAGTAAGCCAGATTTCACAAGTTTACCACCAAAAGCTCCACCAACTCGTTTAACATGGCACATGATCCTGTTGGCTGGGACGCCTAAACTCGCAGCTACCATCTCCTGTAAAAATAGTTGTAATCTTTTATGCCAACGCAAACTAAGCCTAAAAGTGAGGTTATAAAAACCTTTTCTAGAAAAGGGTTCCACAGATGTTTCTTTTCTTTTCTTTTTTTTTTTAACTGGATGAAAATAATTTTTCCTTTACCCGAGCTTAAAAAGCAAGAAGAAGATACCAAAATCTCTACCATGGAGACTGTGAAAGGGCCATGGACAGAAGTGAAGAACAATACCCTTGGATTTCATTACCTAAACAATAAGAAGCTTCAGGTATAAGAAAAAGGGATTAGAATACAGTTTTTATTATTTTTATTACAAAGATAATAGATTTTATTTTTAATTCAAATAAAACAATTTTCTTTTTAATAATCTAAGGGCCTGCTAGTGTCAGGAATGTTCTTGCTTCAAATCATTTTCTCAAGCACAAAGTTCTTCACACTTCTTGGCTATTGGCAATATACTACTAATAACCAAAATGATAAAAGGAGCTGAAGTGTTTTTTAAATACAAATGCCAGTATTGAGTCTGAAATACTATCAGTTTCCTGCACCACAGCTATTGCTATGCAGACTGAATGCTATGTAAGCCCTGCAATGTTTACCATCATGAAAATTATCAGAGCTGGCACATCTCTCCTGTGAAGAAAGACAAAGAGTTGCAGTTGTTCACACTGAAGAAGAGAAGGCTTCAATGAGACCTTACTGTGGCCTTTCAATATATAAAGGGGGCTTATAACAGAGAAAGACCTTTTACAAAGGCCTGTAGTGAAACTGAAAGATGGGAGATTTAAATTGGACTTAAGGAAGAGATTTCTTACAGTGGGGGTGGTGAGACACCAGAACAGGTTGCCCAGAGAAGTTGTGGAAGCCCCATCATTGGAAGTGTTCAAGGTCAAGTTGGATGGGGCTTTTAGAAACTTTGAGATCTAGTGAAAGATAACTCTGTCCATGGCAGGGGGGTTGGATTAGATGATCTTTAAAGGTTCATTCAAACCCAAGTTATTCCATTATTATGATTTTGGTATGGAGCAGCAGTCTCACCTACAGCTATTAGAGTTGATCAAACCCTCAGCAGGCTCTGACTCTGCAGGGTGCTGACTGCACCTAACCTCAATGGAAAGCAAACGGAGATGCAGACCCTCAGCACTCCACAGAGAGATTTTCATGCCTACAATAGTGGGGCATGAGGTACTTTGATCAAAGGGAAACAAGAGATGTTTACTTCCTCCTTATCCTCATAAAGTAGTGGTCAAGTGTTTATCAGGATATAGCAGTACTTCAAAGCAGCTGTTGTTGTATAATCCAGATGTGCAATTTCATGTTCCTACTGCTTCTAAATTGTTAAGATGGATCTGTTAACCACACTTAAAAAGCTCTGTTGTCACAGGGTCAACCACTTTCTCTGAGAATGCTCTGTATTACCTGAATAACTGCTGGATGCTGTGTTGACACATACACATCCATTTCCTTATCCTCTCCTTTTGGAACAGCAAGCGCACTCTGAGTCTCCATGTAGAAGTGTTCCTGTCCCCCAATGTGAATCTCTCCTGATCCAAAGACAAAAACACAAGTTATACTGAGGTAAAAAGACAGAAGAAACGAACCAGGAAAGAAATAACAACCCATCATCATTTAAATTATGGTAATCAGTATAAAATCTTCTGATACTTCTTTTATGAAGGAGCAACATCTAAGATAAAAACACAGATTAAACTCCTTGAAGGATTAAATTGATCTTCTTCCAGTGACATCAACAGAACCTGATTAAGAGCAGAATACTATTGCCTAGAAGTGGTGTCAACATTAAATAAAATGTTTTTTTAGGTAAATTAAACAAAGCATAGACATACTGGACCAGGTCAAGAAGGTGGCTGCCAAGATAGTCAGAGAACTGGACCACAGAATGTATGAGAAGAGCTTAGAGAACTGGATTTATTCATCCATAAGAAGAAAAGGTTTAAGGGGAAATCTAGGTCTACAACTACCTAATGGGAGGGTACAGAGAAGACCAAGCCAGACTGTTCTCAGAGATGCACGGTGGAAGGATAAGAAGCAATGAACACAAGCAATTCCAACTTGATATAAGAAAAAAAAACCCACCATGAAAGTGCTCAAACATTAGAAGAGGTCCCTATAGAGGCTGTGGAATCTCCATCTTTGGAGATATTCAAAACATGAGCGGACATGGCCCTTAGTAACCTGAACTAACTGGACCTGCTCTAAGCAGGAGGTTGGACTATGACCAATGACCCCCTTCCAACCTTATTATTCTGTGACTCTGTTTCAACGACAAAGCATGCAGAAAACTTGAATGCAGTGGCAGGATCATAAGACCACTAAGTTTAATCACACTTTCTTCTAGGTGACTTTTCTCAGGCCCAATAGCTGTATGGAAAAAAGGCAGACCTGGGACCTGAAGAACAGTCAGTCAAACCCAAATAATGACAACAACTTCTCACCAAATATATTCTGCAGTTTACCTTCAATTGTATTATCAACAGTTTCAAATGCCTGATCAACATTTCCTTGTTCTAGTTTTCTTTTGGGCTCAAAGAATGAGTTGTGCTTTATAGCTTCCTGCAGTGAAGAAAAAGAGAAATAGTTTTTCAAAGTATTTTAAAGATTCAATGAACAACTGTATTTCATCATTTTACTGTCATTTTTGGTAAGTTTGTGCATTCAGTTCCAGCAATTCTTTCCTGCTGCATCTCCTGTTACTGAAAATAGTAGTCTCTAAAGGAAATGCATTCAGTTTATTCAACCTGCTCTTCCTTCTCATACATCTAACACCCAGCCTAAGTCCATTTCCTCTACAACTCCCACATCACGTTTCTAATATGCTCTGTATCTCTTTTTCCTCACATTCCCACACCACTTCCTACATCTCCAGCCTAACTCTGTTGGCTTGCTAGCTGGACAACAGATAAAAATGCTACAGATGATCAAGAGCTGATTGTTCAGCCAATTGATGAGCCAATAGCTACCAAAAGAATTACAACCAACCAGCATGCTCATTAACTTTCCTCACCAGAAACATTAAAAGAGTTCTTCTTTCATACACTTGTGATTGTTATTATGAAATTTGTGGGACCTTAATACTTCTGAGACTGTTGCCTATCTATCACCAGCCATCAAATTAGCCAAAAGGTTGAAACTTTTTTTTTTTTTTACAGAGACACTGACAGACTGGTTAACTGTATATTCATATTCACCCTTTTCCCTTAGAAAATCATGTTTAAAAACCTAATGAGAAGTATGAACTGCTCCCTCCATTAATTAAATAGATAAAATAATTAGAAAAAAAACAAGAGAAAAGAAACTGCTAGTACCTCAATTGTTAAGATCACTGGTTCCAACATTTCATACTCTATCTTCACTTTTGCAGCTGCTTGTTTAGCATGAATATCTGAATCTGCGACCACAGCGCAGACAATCTGCCCAACACAGGTCACCTGTAAAATACACATCACTTAATAGAACAGAGGATTCAAATGATTACCATACGTGATGCTGCTACTCTTCTGTGTAACCACCCTTCATGTTTCTTTTTTAGAATTCTGTTTCAATGTAGGACTTTTGTATTTTTTAGATCATCCACGAAGTGAACAAATTATTAGAAATACCAGTATAATACAGTACTAAAATATGAGTAACAAGAGCCTAACTTCCAATGAAACATACTCTCCCAACATCACAGATGGTTTTGTGAAGTTTACTCTGTATTCTTCTGATTTATATATCTTTCTCTAGGCAGAATATAAACCATATGAAGTAAAACTTCATTATAAAAGGCTGAAACACAGTAGAAATGAAGAAATTAAGTTAAAAAAAAATTATAGTTGTACCTTGTTTCTTGCAAATATAATCTCTGGATCATCAGAATAGTAGAACTCATTTGTAGCTGGTACATCATGAGCTGATATGACATCGAACACACCTGACACTTTTAGAGCCTCTGAAGTATCTATAGAGCTGATTGGGATACGGGAAGAGAGCAATGTAATTCATTAGTTTTACCAATCATTGCACAGAGCAAGAGAACAAATACAGACATATGTTTGTTGTACTGCCAGGATCTGCTCATGGGTTCAGACATGTCTTTTCCTTCTATCTCTGCTATGCAAAGAAGTGCAGATTAAAAAGCAGGTTAGTAGAATTTTAAATTCTACTAACCTGCTTCATTCCTAGTTAATATTCTAGATGTAACAGGGAAATAACTGGCCCATTAGACTGCCTGAACTGCATTGATTTAATAAAAATCTCCGTACAATTACGATGCTACAATTGCTACTTCCTAAGACATCACAGCCTACTACACAGATACAAATAACCATCTGCAAATGGAGGGTTCATGTAAAGAATTAAAATAGAAATGGCAAGACCAGTATAAATGAAGAATGAGTGGGAATGTATGGGTGTAGAAGGATCAGAAAAAAAAGCAGAAGGTCTGTAAGAATGGTATGTTTTAGCAGGTCACCACACTCACACCACATCCACTGGAATCCTCTCTGAATACCCACATCAGAAGATAAAGGAGAGTGAATAAATCCTACTGATCCAGAGATGGGGGTAATGTCAGCTCCCTGATGATACCAAAAAAATGCAGATCCAAACCCAGCATACTATCTCCAACCTAAGAATAAGCTAGGAAGTATGACACAGACTCTACAGCTAAAAGCCCCAGTCCTCTCTGTCATTACAATTAATCCTGACCACACCACCTGGATATATGTTTTCATGTGTGAATGCTAGGTAGACAACTTTGATGTGTTCATTTTGGTGAATGTTGAACAAATTGCTAGAATAGGTGTAACTCTGCAGCCAAAACACATAAATGAAAACAGTTTTCTTTCAAAATAAAATCTTTTTCCCAGCTTCCTCTCCTATAGTCTCACATAAGCCTTCCTCAGATACACTTACACAATCTTAGCATGAGCTCTGGAACTAGTGACGACAGCCAGGAAGAGCTCCCCATCCACAGAAGGAAGGTCATCAATGTAAACTGCTTCACCAGTGGCATGCTTAATTCCAGACTGGTGCATAATGGGCCGTCCTACAGGATCCTGGGGAGACTGAGTCGGCTCTATGTCCTGTACAGTCAAAAATACAACCCCCATTTTCCCCAGAGAGTAAAAATAAGAATAGTCATGTTAGTCTTACAGCAATCAAAGTCAGATGAGAAAACAACTGTTCATATTATCATCTTCTGGTTCAATATTGAAAACAGATGTGTTGCAGGACCTGCCTGCTTCTCTTGGGGATTTCTTCTATTTATTCTCTTATGGAGCCTTCCAAACCCCTTGCACAGATTTGTCTATTTGGATTTTTTTCCTGAAACGTTTACAGCAAAGTGATACAAACAGCATTTCTTTTTTCAGGACATTTTCTTCTCTGATTCATTGGTGTTACGAAGCTTTGATAAATTTCTGAATTATTCTTGCAAGATTCTGCTTTGTATTTTACCAGTGCCTAGTGTTGTATGCTGAGCTGTTTGCAGTGATTTCTAGGATTTGTCTCCCTTGCTGAACAACTGCAAGTGATCAATGCAAATCAGTGAGAAATTGCTTAAGTATTTCCTTCCCAATCTTATTTCCTTGCACCTGTGGATGAATTTAATGTCTTAGTGACATTGTTTTGCTAATTTTTTCCTAAAATTTAGTTCAGTGTTGCCAGTTAATTCTGCAACACCAACTAATTGTTGTCAACTTCCAGACACTTTTCCAGTTCTGTGTCAGTGTTCACACTAACTTTTTCCTCTTTTACATTTAGAACTAGTTAATTGCTCACAACTCAAAACCTTGTTTCTTCCATAGCTTCCAGTACACAAATGTTCTGGCTACACATTTCTACCTCCTGTACTGTTAGCCCAAGGCCAAGAACAGATATTGTTTACTTGACTGCCTAATGTTCCTCAAATGGCTGCCTCAGACAAACCATCTCAACTTCTCTGCTAACAGAATCACCAGGTATTTAACATTCTTTCCCCCACTTTCAATTTAAAAAGCTTAATAATGTTCAAATGAAGAAATCCAGACAAAAGATACAGACTTGCAAAAGTTGGATAGAAATTTAAAAGTGAAAAAACAGATTTTTCTGGGTTTCTAAATATCTGTTGCTCATGCCAAGTGATCTGAAAAACAAATTGTTTCCATTTCTGTTGTTTAGTCACTTTTTTGCAGCTGGGGAATAAATTGCTGAAAGTCCTGAAGAACTAGTTCCTTTTATCCTGGCCCCTTTCATTAGTCTGTGTGTCTTTCTTTTTATGCTAGCCTGAAGAAAGCTGAAGATAACAACTTGACCAAAGTATTTAAAGCTAAAATGTTATTCTAAAGAATATCTAAAAATTAAAAAAAAAACTATAAAAAAGTCATGTTTACCTACGTTTCATTTAAATTTTCTTCAGGTTTTCAAAAAAGTGAGATTTTTACTTGTGTTGGAGTTCCCACCACGATCTAGTCACAAGGGTGAGATAAGAAAATCCAAAAGGTGTTCTTTGCTGCCCTCTACTGCTGACTTTTCCTTGAATAGGTTAATTTGAACAGAGAGCCATCACAAATTCCACCTTGATTCCATCTAGATTCCACCTGCAGTAAGACCTAAGAGCCCTCTGAGATCTTAAGAAAAGTGTATCATGAGACAGCAATACTAGAGTGATAGCTATAGACTTAGGCCTTTCAATCTTTCTTATTTTGTTCTATTTTTCCCAACTGGGTTGCACGCTGCAATATACCACATTTAAACAGTCTGACAATGGAGTTTGTTCAGCATATTTATCTTTTGAGAATTGTTTAGAAGAAGTGAGTATAGCAATATGAGTCTATTTTTACAGGAAAACTTTTTCTAATTGAGATACAGTTCAGCTACAGCAGCCATTTTTTCTCCTT